TTATAATGTGTATATATAGGGTTTATCGTTTCTCAAACTGTTTGAGATAATTTTATCTCCAGCTACTAAATCCTATGGGATAGGAATAATAGGATCTTGCGACACCAGTGTCAAACTTTGAAATTTAATACCAAATCCTAAATGTTGATTTTTGTCAATCAACAGTTATCATTTATTGAAATAATTTTCCAATATTCATATATATCTATTTTCGTGTATAATGTGTATATACAGGGCTTATCGTTTCTCAAACTGTTTGAGATAATTTTATCTGCGGCTACTATATCCTATGGGATAGGAATAATACGATTTTTCGACACTAGTGTCAAACTTTGAAATTTAATACCAAATCCTAAATGTTGATTTTTGTCAATCAACGATTATCATTTATTGAGAATAATAATTAATTATTAAGTTTGATTTTCAATAAATGATAATCGTTGATTAGCGAAAAATAACGGTTAAAATTTGATGACAAATTTCAAAGTTTGTCATTGATGTCAAAGAATCTGCCTATATATATATATATATATATATATATAATTTTATCTAATTCAACATAAAATCTAAGAAGAGTCCATGCACTTGTAAATTTAAATTGCAACAATACGGATGTTAACTTTTAGTATGTCCTGATATTTGAGTGAAAAACAGAAACCAAAAAATTAGACAGTTTGCAAATTATGCGCATCCGGGGAATCGAACCCCGGTCAGTACCGTGGGAGGGTACTATGATACCACTACACCAGATGCGCTTGGATGACTCAAGCTTAAATTATATCAATATACTATTGAAACTCACTAAATATATTGGTCTCTAAGAACAATATGATACGGCACGCCTAAAATAAATATAAACTTTATAAGATTAATAAAAAAATACAAGTCTTAATTAACATTTAATATAAACTTCAAAACAAGTGGCATAGTGTTTTTATACAAAGTGCACTCCGAAGAAATTATCTATTTAGGCTCAAAATCTCATGACTAAAGATGCAAGATTAATTTCCTACTCTCCATTCCAATAATTATAAGTCACTCTACTACTATTTCAGTGAATTATTCAACCTACCCTACCCTACCGGTGCTCATTTATGAATCTTCTACCAATAAGTTAGTGCAATGTGGTTTACAAAGCTATCACCAAGCTGCTTGCTAAGAGATTGAAAGAGTTCATGCCTTGGCTAGTAGCACCAAACCAATGTAGCTTCATTAAGGGCAACCAAGTACTGATAATATCATCATTGCCTAAGAAACTATTCATTCAATGCTGGTTAAGAGTCGTGCTAAGGGATGGATGATGATTAAAGTCGATTTAGAAAAAGCTTATTATCGACTGAGTTGGGAGTTTTTCTGTGACACTTTGGCTGATCTTAAGCTTTCTTATATGCTTATAAATCTGGTTTATTGATGTATTGCCTCTAGTACCATGAACCTGTTATGGAATGGTACAATCACTAGAGAGTGTAAACCTCAACGTGGTATAAGATAAGGAGATTTGATCTTTCCCTATATGTTTGTTTTGTGTGTGGAAAGATTAGCCCACCTGATTAACTTGGATGTTGAAACCAAAGCTTGGAAATGGTTGCAAACTCGGTAAGTGCATCAGTCGTACAAGTAATAAAGTATATGAGTAAGAGATCGTTTTCACGAGGATTAGATTTCAACCACTAATTTCCCTATTTACGCTTAAGTTGGATAATCAATCACGAATATTATATGAAAACTAAACTAAATAACCAACATGAACGTAAAATTTGGATTACTTGACAACCAAGAAAAGCAATTAGAGTTTCCATTTCCCTCAATCTCTCATTTATGTTATGAATTAAAACCTTTAATTAAATGTACATTTCATATCGCCAGTCGATTCTCCTAAGTTAATTAAGACTCAATCCATTGGCATCCTAATTCCTTATTCTCTTTAAAAAATCCTAGTTCCTCAGTTGTTTTTCAAAGAAAATAAGCATTAAATCCAAGAATCATAAAAATTTCATTATTCATGTCTATCCTAGAATCATAAGAATTAACGATGAATTTACTACGCATGACTCATATATCAACATCCCTATTGCCACACATTAACCCTAGATCAATTTACAAGATCAAACTCATAGAAGGCATGAAGAAAAAATATATTCATTCAATATAAAAAGAAAATATGATATTAAAGATTATTCATAAGATAGAGATATGATTGGGTTTCCTCTAGCCCTAACTATAAAGAAAAACTAGCCTAACATAGTGGAATCAAGAAAGCAAGAAAACATAAAAGCTTCCCCAAACTCCATTAGTGTGATGGTATGGTGAATCTTCAAGGTTTGTAGCGTAATTTTGCCTCTGACTCGTCTCTAGCTCTCAAAAGAATGAAGAACGCGCTTCTCCGATAAAAATATGCCTTCGGTGTCAAGTTCTATCAAAGACTCATAAAGAATAGCTTAAATAAGTGTAGGCATCCTTGTTTTAGGTGAAAACCATGTATTGGACCTTAATTGGGTCGCGCATGGGAGCTAAAGCGCCCATTACCGTGCTAAAATGCGCTATTTTTGTGAAACCAATGCGCTTAATATGAAGAATTCAATCATACAAGAGTTTTGATGATAACAAACAAGCATAGAAGCGATGTTAAGGATAATACAACTCGCAACAATCAAAAGCCCAAGGAAGCAATTCAAACAAGTCAACAAGAGCAAATCAGTCAACATACAAGATCATCATTGATTCATGCTCTTGAGAGCTTAGATCTAAATGTAAAAGTAATTGATTAATGATGCATAAAAGAGCTCAAAGGGTAATTAACTCTATGCATGCATTATCCATGTCATCTATCACTTGAAAGCCTTAATTGTTATGAAAAATATCCTTGACATGTTTAATAACTTCAAAACATTTTGTACAAGTCAAGGAAATACATTGAAAGTGATTAGAGACCAAAAGGTATACTTTACAACTCATAAAACTGCATAATTAAAGAAAGTATTCGAATACTCCATTGTCTGTATTCAAATACTTATACTGAGAACAAATTATTCGAATACCTTGAGAAAAGTATTCGAATACCAGTTTAAGTATTCAAATACCTCACGAATAGTATTCGAATACTTACTGGACAGTAAGCAGTATAACGGCTATAAACGACTAGTTTTGCGAAAATGTGTGTTCAAAGGGTCATGAGGGCCCTCTATAAATAGTGATCACTATTCACATTGATGGGGACACCTTTTCCAATCATTATTCTTGCTCTATTTCATATCATTTGCTTACTTTCTATCATCTTGATCATAAATCACCTTTGAGCTCTAATCTTGTGTCATTGATCAATACCTATAAGCTTCAACTTGTATAATCTGTACTTCAAGAGTACATATCCCTTTCTAAATACTCTCAATCTGTTCATTTGTGTTAAGGGTAGTGAGACCCTAGTGAAAGAGGTTGCTCATAACCTAAGTAAGTGAGTGGAAGTGTAAAGGCTTCAAGAATCGATATTCTTGAAGGTTGTAGTGGTTTGTCAAGCACTCTTGAAGCTTGATAATTTAGTGAAAAGTTGAACGGGCGATTTCAATCTGAACGTAGGTCACGGTGGTGGTGACCGAACCAAGATATATAGTGTTTGCAATCTCTCTAACTCTTCATTTCTTTATATTAGCATTATTTGATCACTTGAACCTTTTATCTCTTCTCTTTACATACCATTTGCTTGTGTTAATTTCTATTCTCTAAACTTTGCTTGTGTCAAATTATATTATTCTAAGAAAATCGATTTCAAGAAAGGAAGTGAGGCATTTTGTGAAAATATTTTTAAAACTCAATTCACCTCCCCTCTTGAGTTTGAGGCCACTTGTCCAACAATTTTGACAACAAAAATATGATTTTGTATTTTGAGCATAACTTTAGCTATACTCATCCGATTGATGAGATCTTGATCTCGTTGTAAAGAATGAAGAACGCACTTCTCCGATGAAAAATATGCCTCTGGTGTCAAGTTCTATCAAATACTCATGAAAAATAGCTTAAATAAGTGTAGGCATCCTTGTTTTAGGTGAAAACCATGTAATGGACCTTAATTGCTTCGCGCATGGGAGCTAAAGTGCCCATTACCATGCTAAAATGCGTTATTTTGACAACAAAAATATGATTTTGTATTTAGACCATAACTTTAGCTATACTCATCTCATTGATGTGATATTGATCTCATTGTAAAGATAGAAGAAAGATCTACAACTTCAATGCATAATATAATACCCAAATTCATCATCTTCGATGCGAAGAATTGGCCGGAAAACAGCTTCAAGGAGATTCCACTAAATCGTTGCTCCTCATTTATCGCTTTAAGCCCTTCTAGCTTAACCATTGCTCCAATTCAACTCAATTGTCCTACAAAACAAGCAAAAACCATTCACATGAGTCAATAACTCAAAGTTATTCTTCTTAGCCAAATAACTATAAGTTCTCATGCTTTTGACTAGATAATAATGTGATTTTTGTCCTTTAAAACATGATAAACTATGGGTTTATCATAAACCTATATTCCTGAAAATGAAAGCTCCTCCAGTTTCTCATCTTATTTTTTGCCGACGATATAAAGCATCTTTGGAGCAAGCACATGTAATCAACTAGGTTCTAAAAATCTTTACCGAAGCTTCAAGGCAAAAAGTCAATGGGATAAAACCAGAGTCTTTTTCTCCAAGAATGTTGGAAGCTTCAGAGCTAGGGAGATTAGTGATTGCCTTGCGTGGGAATTACTCCAGATCTGGGGAAATATATAGGGGTGCCCTTGAAGCATAAGAGTGTCTAGAGCTAATTTTAAACATGTTCTAGAGAGGGTTCATAATAGACTCTCCACTTGGAACTAGTCGTCCCTATCTGTAATTGGTCATGTCACGTTGGCCAAATCTTTTCTGGAAGCTCTTCCAGCTTATTCTATGCAAATAGCAACTCTCCCTGTCAGTGTATGTAAGGAGGTTGAGAAGATAACGAGAGGATTCATTTGAAGGTCCAAATTTGACCAGAGGAAGACCCATATTGTTCATTGGGACAAAATTTGTTGGCCCAAGAAAGAAGGTGGCCTAAGTCTGAGGGCCAAGGTAAAATTAGTAAGGCTTTTTCAATGAAAATTGGTCATAGCCTACTGTCCAACAGAGAAGCTCTCTGGGTCCAGATCCTTCGCGACAAATATAAGGTGAACTCTGATTTAATTCCTAATCTAAGCATGGTAAAAATATTTCTAATACATGGAAAGAAGTGTGTAAAGTCTGGAATCAAGTCCAAGTTAGCTTCAGATTTCCAATGGTTATTGGCTCCAGCACTAACTTCTAGAGGGATAAATGGGTTCTTGGGGTGAGGGTTTTGCTGGATAGAATCATTCAACCTCTTCCTGAGGATGCTGTCAACTGGAAAGTCTCGATTGTTAATCAATTATGTAACTAGCATTGGAAAAAGATTGTAGATCACCTGACATAGGAAGATTTACATGTTGCTGTTGATATAATCCCCCCCTTCTGGCGCAACTGGGGTTCATAAAGTTCTGTGGAATCATTCTTCTTCGGGCATTTTCACTTTAAAATCAGCTTACTCTCTTTTGTATCCCAATCAAGCTGATAGTACTTGCAGAAATTGGTCTCTGGCATGGGATTGGGAGGGCCCTCAATGTATCAAGCTTTTCCTGTGGCTAATTCTCGGTGAGAAATGGTGAGAGAAGTAGGAGACATATGAGTGAGGATGCTTCTTGTCCTAGACGTCAATTTCCTGTAGAAGATTGTCTTCATGCTCTTAGAGACTGCACCTTGGCCCATCAAGTCTAGGAGCTATGCATCAGAAAGAGTGATCGCTATTTGTTCTTCATCGGGGACTTCAGTAGCTGGACAAGTAGGAATCTTAACAGAAGAATCCAAAATAAGGATTGGAGGAAACTATTTGGTGTGATATGATGGCTTCTTTGGAAGAACAGGAATAACTTGGTGTTTAATGAAACATGCCATTCCCCCTTCGAAGTTTATCAGCAATCTATGGTTTATGTGCAAAAGATCAACGTGGCAGACTGCATGTTGATGGAAGCGTCTTTTTGTCAATCCAAGTAGATAAGTGCTGTTAAATGGAATTTGCCCCCTCCAGGTTAGTTGAAAATTAATACTGATGGTTCTTGTGCTAATAATGGGTCGAGGTTAGGTTATGGAGGAGTTTGCAGGGATTGTTCTGGTATGTGGATCACATGGTTTTCTAGAAAATTGGGCAGTGGTACAGCCTTGGCAAAGCTCTGGGGTCTTTTGACTGGTTAGGAATGGGCTTGGAATGTTCGAGTTCACCAAGTTATTTTGGAAGATGATTTTGTTGAAGCCTTGAATATGATATCTAATGGGTACATTAATTCTCACCCTTATTTTGATTTGATTCTCAGAATTAAGGAGAACATTGCTAGAAAGTGGAAGGTGGAGTTTCTTCATGTTCCTAGAGAAGGTAACAGGTTGCTGATTGGATGGCCTCTCATCTTGTGGACGACGCCTAGATCACAACTTGGTTCGACTCCCTCCCCTAGATGGCTGTAGAAGTTTACTGCAAAATGATTGTTTGGGCATTTCTGTTCCCAGGTTGATGCCTGGCTAGGCATATGTTCTGTTTTGTGTTTTTTATTTTCCTTCTGTATCAATATCAACATCAACACCTTCATCCCAAATTATTTTCCCCTTCATTTCCCCCTCTTCTTCTTCATATTCTTTATGAAGGGTTGGGGTTATTTCCTTCTGTATCCAAAAAAAAAAAATCACACACATTAAAACTTCTCCGAACGCTTACTTAGATATAGGGCAACGCACGCAAATAGTAGTGTGTAGGAAAAGGTCAAGCATACAAAATCTGGCGGCACAGGAACTTCACAGATACAAAATTTGGGCTCAGATATTATTAAGTTTTGGGTGAAACGATGAATGATCTAATTTTATCTATTATGTTTTTGTGATAACAATGCTCCACAATGTATGCATCAAAAAATTTCCTAAAAATGTGCTGGTTTAAAAAAAGAAGTGTTGTCACTTGTCATTCAAAGACAGCATGTAGAACTGTTAGGCCACAAGTCACAATATGGATGTGTAATGCAATTGAATCGATTTATTTCTCTGGAAACGGACACATGTAAGGATGATACATTCTGCAACTTTATAGTATATACAGATGCATGTTACACGTTTTATTTTTTCTCAGGAAGCTTCTCCAGTAACTCTGGTATCGCCTCAAACAGATCTCCTACAAGTCCATAATCAGCAACCTGCAATTATCATATAGATATGGCAAAACTGATTTCTTCTTAGGATTGTTTGTGGCAAATAAAGTAGAAAATGCACGCACTTAAGTAGTTTTATCAGTTTAAAAGAGAGTGCCATTACCTGAAATATAGGAGCATCAGCATCGTTGTTCACGGCAACAATAACCTTGGAATCCCTCATCCCTGCTAAGTGTTGAATAGCTCCGGATACACCAAAAGCTATATAGAGTTCGGGAGCAACAATCTTTCCAGTTTGGCCAACCTATATATCAAATTCCCAACAGGAAACACAGACTTAAGAACATATATATTAGGCCTGAATTGATGTATGAAGTTGAAATGGCTATTGACACTCAATACTAAGCCTATTAAATGCATATCCAAATCCTCCAAATGAAATGCAATTGCATAAGCATTCGGTAGCAAGTCAGCAAAGCAGGAAAAAAACATTTTGTTTCTCCTAATTTATGCATCAGACAGAGATAGCAGCTTAAAATATCTAATGTTAATATTTTGTCATGATAGCAGCTTAAAATATTTTGTCAAGGGGAACCTTGGTGCTACGGTTAATGGAATCAGCCTACTGCAAATGCAAGGTACGATTGCCTATTATAGACCCTAACACTATATCCAGCCCTTTCTTCGACCCAGCAAATAGTGATTGCAAGGCTGCGCTTTTAATTTTCTAAACTACAAGAAGTTGCTAAAAGAGAGAAAGATAACATAAAATGATTTAGTAATGCACTGCTGCTTGACAGAAAACAAAAGTATATAATCAGCATTTAATGCGTTTAATATTCTTTAGTGACATTTGAGCTAACGTTCCATTCCTCTTTGTTCCATTCAGAGATGTTTTGCAGTTTCAACCTTATAGGTTTGCAATTATCTTAACTTTCACAGTATTTCCCATTTACACAGAGCAACATGACAAGAAGGATCAAGGGAGAAATTCAGTATGCAAGTAGCCAAGGACGTAAAAAGAGTAGTTTAGAATGAGTTTACTCTGTTCTCCTTCAGTTTTGTTTTTGCAATGTGTATGATTTCAAGGGGTAGTTAATTTTTATCTGAAAGGAAGTAAATTTGTCACCTGAAGATCATTAGGAACAAATCCCGCATCGACAGCAGCACGAGTGGCACCAACTAAGCAAAGGAGAATGACGTTAGCAGATGTTTACTTAATCCACACAAAAAACAATAGAATGTAAAATCAGATAGTAGCGAAAGATATTAAGAGATTTTTGCCATCAATGACCTAGGAATTTAGATCAGTGAGCAAATGCCGGATCCAGCAAAATAGAAATAACAATCACTCGCTATAAAAATAAGTATTCATAACAGCAGATATAGGAAATAATACCAGCAGCACCAAGTTTCTTGGCTAGATTTTCAATCAATTTAAAGTTCTCGGCACTCTTTAGTGCACGGCCACCAGTAACTACAATTCGTGCATTCCCAAGATCTGGTCGTTCATCGTCCTGAGAAGTTTGAGATATATATCTAGACTTGCCGAGATCTGCCCAAAAAAAATAAGAAGAATTAGTTCATCTCATCACAAGGGGTAGGTTCAAATATCCAAGTCTGACAGGCAGTAAATGATCAAATAAATGTAAATGACAGCAGAAAATTAACCCTGATAATGTTGATCCATTGCTCTTTGAAGCATTCAACCAGGACCTATAGTCAACAGATAAACAAGGACAAGATGCATTTCCTACCTCTTGTATTTTTTCAATTTTCCCCAAAACAAAAACGTACATGCACCAGAAACAGGAAAACAGACCTTCATCAAAGGTTGAAAGGTCAACCTGAGATATTGAAGCCTCATTAGATTTTGAGTCAACTGGCTTCTGGGGAACAGGAAAAGATGTGGATCTTATCGTTATTATACAAGGATTGGAACCAGTATACCGGACAGTACAAAGTGCATTTCCAGCATATATTGGCCTGTATATAAAATTAAAATCTTACTTCCAGCCAGACGAAGAAACCAACATTTATATTTCATAGTTAAGATGGAAGCAGGTTCATAATGAATAACTCAAATATGAGAAGCACTATGCGCTGCATTAATTAGCTGCCAAAATCACAAAAAAAAATTAAAATAAATAAAAATGAAAAGACATCCCTACTGTGCCTGCCATCTCTTCAACTCTATAAATATGCCCTACCACATGCAAACTCTTTCATTTTGATACTAAGTATTAGCTATGGAGGCCAATTTTAGCAGCAGAACAAATAAATAAGCTACAAGAATACTTGCTCATGAAAGCCTAAGCTGTTATCATGTCCTTGTTTAGCAAATCAATGTACACTAGAATTTCACTTTACATACTCTTTCTATAGTAATCCTTATGCATAGACTGCAAAAATCTTCTATATGCATGAACCACCATACACATTGTATCACTTCAGTCCACACCTTAGAGTCTTGACTATCATGAGTTCATATTTGTTCTGATATCTTATTATCAAGAGCCAGAAGCTATCTATGACAATTATGCTCAGACAGCAATACCTTCAAAAAGTTTGAATGTTAAGTCTGGAGATAATCCAGGTTTAGAGGTTTTTCATTTTTCTACTCCAGACTCCAGCTTAGTATTAGATCTCAAAGTAGTCACCGATTTGTTTGCAAATAATTCTTATCAACATGTAAAAAAGAAAGAAAGCATAGACTATTGAGCTGAAGAAAAGCTTGTCATACTAAAATTGTGGGCAAACAGCAAAAAAGAATTAAGAAAATGATGCATTAACAGCATTTTTAGCATTACGACTCCAAAAACCTTAAAAATGATAAAGTCAGATATGTGATTATATAGATTGACCGGGATGCTTTATGATAAAACAGTTTCTTCTCAAATGCAGTCCAAAAGCAGAGAGATCTTCCATGAATCAATAATATGAACCTTGCGTATTGCAAGGAAAAGGCTCCAGGCAATAGTACTGCTCCTTCGTCACAATAGCTTAAACAGTCAATAACTCACATCATATTAAACGGAGGGTCTTGTTAAATATGCAACCTTGACCATGGAATTTACACTGTAACGATAACAATTCGATGTTACCAGATAGCGTAAGTTTAGCCAGCAGTAACACCAATCCATGACAGATTTAATAGTAGGTGACCAGCATCAAATTGTGCAATAAACAACAGGTTTCTATTAATTAAAGAGAGAAAGAAAGAGAGAGAGAAACCAACAAAATGTACCTCACGAAAGTATGAGAATCAGAAATTGTAGTAACATCAGAAATTGGAGAAACATCTAAAAGGGCAGCTGCACGCGGCATGACATTTTTCCCAAAAGAATTTGAAGCAGCAATTATATGAGAGTAACCACCTCTCTGCTGAACCAAATGTACTAGTTTAGCCCAGGGTTCTGCCAGAGGGCTCTTGAATTTATCTGAATCTGCCACCAGCACCTACGCCACAAGTAGCACACCCACAGCAAATATCAAAATCCTGAAGTTCAATCTTCCTTTCCAATATTTGTACACACACATTCCGCTACCTTCCTCAATTCTTACAAAATTTCCATTCTCTTTTTCCTTTCTATCATTTCAAGTTCAAGATAAATGCTCAATGCACTCAGACATGAGTTGCCACTCATCTACGGAGCATATTAGCAAAAGTATCCAATTGAGGACAACAGCCATTAAAATTAAAAAAAAATAATAATAATATTAATAATAACTAGGCAACATAGACAAAGACACCAGAAATATCATTCCCTCACAATTCAGTACCTAAATTTACTTATGGGAAGTGAGATGGAAGAAAGACTATCCTGATACCAATTTTGTAAATTAAGGGACTAACTCTGCACACATAAATAAATTGTAAGAAAAAAGGCAGCCTAGCACTATAAAACTCCTGCAATGGCGATATACACGAAGGGTCATGAGTGAGATCTATAATAGGAAGCCTCACCTTACATTTACAAGAGGCTAAGAGGCTGATTACATTACATGAATCCAACCTATGACTTTTTAGTCAAATGGCAATACCAACCTTCGAGTAAAATATAGGCTGCCCAGGGTGAACTCAACACCTCGTCCCAACCCAAAACCTTAAGAAGTAGAGTTCACGGGTCCTGTTAAGAACCACTTCAACCCAAAACCTTAAGGTGTTAGGTGAGGGCCTTTTTAATGATTTATATTATTCTCTAACACACCCCCTCACACAAAAGTCCTTTGGGCTTGAAGTGTGGATATTGCACAGACCCAATTTTTGGTTTACCTTCTTTTGTGCTTTTTTTTTATTCAATTCCACACGTGGGGGCGGTGAGAATCGAACTCGTGATTTTATGGTCACTGAAGCTCTGATACGATATTAAAAACCACTTCAACCCAAAACCTTAAGGTGTTAAATGAAGGCCTTTTTAATAATTTATATTATTCTCTAACGTGTCCTTCGACTTATAGACTCTTTCTAGTTGTTGTATGATCATCACTTAGTTCATTTCTAATTACATTGGCACTTCACTAATCAAAGACTCCCCTTCACATGAATAAATTGAGTGACTAAGAATAATCCGCATATCTACTCCATGAAAAGAAATCCTAAACGACATATTTCAACCCAAATTTGATAATAGAAAGAAAAAAAGAAAAAAGAGTCCGAATTACCTGAGAGATTGAAGGGTGACAAGAAGCAGCATGTGAAGCAGCTTGATGGAGGGAAGGACCCGAACCAGCCAAGAGAAGAGAAACGGAAGATTCGTGACCAGTGAGAGACTTTGCAGCAACAAGTGCTGAGAGAGAAGGAGCTTTGATGGCACCACCTTCGTGCTCCGCCACAACCAGCGTACTACCCTATACATCCAATTCAACAACAATAGCACAGTCAACACTCAACACTCACTGTAGAAAGAAACGAATCGAAACGGTTTCGTCTGAATGAATCATTACGTGTCGAGAAGAGGAAACGGAGAAGCTAGAGAGAAAGTGCGATGCGGGGAACAAAACGGTGCGTTTCTTAATTGCTCTGATGATCACGCGAGTCGTCGCCATTGTTTCCTTCCGAACTCAGGAGACAACGATTGTATTAGCGCAGACGATGATTTGATATGAAGATATTAAAGAAGACGGTGCCGTATTAAAGTCACCAGCTGATGCTGATTCAGCTTAAGCAATAGGAGATTTAGAAGATGATAACTATAACAATGACGTGTTCTTTTGTTTAATCTTTTACCCACTCGCTAGTAGCTGCCATGTAAGTGGGGGCACTGAGGGAGTCGTGTCCCCTTGGTTCAGCTGGGGGGGTATGGGACGAGATATGAAAATCGTTGTTTTAATGGAATGGAAAATGATACAAATAAAAAGTCAATTCTCTTTCTCTTATGGGGATGTTTTTACAATTTCATCTTTTATTCAAAAAATTAATATAATTATTATATTTTACAAATTAAGTTAAAATAAAAATAAAAAATTATGTAATTTTTACATTTAAAAATTGATTCTCAGTCTACAGAATTATTTTCTCTCTAAAAAATAATTCATATAATTATAATTAAATAAAATTTAATTTTGATTTACTATAGAAAAAATTTATATCATTATTTGACAAAAAAATATTAATAAATAATAATAAAAAGGAGTCTTGCAAATTAAAAAAAAATATGAAAGTTTTGTGTAGTGAATTACATAATCTATATTTCATTAAAATGAAAAAAATATAACAATTATCGCAACCTAATGACCCAACCAATTTTGAGCATTGTTGTAAAACCCAACCTGACCCGGCCGAGTCGACCCGGAACCTGATGACCCGGTCATCGGACCGTTTCGAGTTAAGCATTGAACCGGTCATGCATCGACCCGATCAAAACTCAGCCGAACCCGGTCAAAATCGGTGACCCGGTGACCTGTTGACCTGGTCGGGTCTTGCAGAACTCATCTTATTAGAAAAAAAATGTAGAACTCATTTTAAAAACTTTGTAATTTTATTTGCTAGTATACTATTCTATAATGACCTCAAATTTCAGTTTCCAATACTGAAGCAATTTGCGGAATAATAAATTAACAAAATGTGACATATGTTATTTTAAAGTAGTTGAATTTGAAAAATAAGAGTTCAATGACATTGAGATGTATGTTTACGGGAATTCTGAGTTGCAATTTAAATTGACATAGTAATAGCGTGCATTTTTATTTATTTATGTTTTATGTTTTTGAGCTTATTTAGTGAACCTTGTTTAATTCATTTTAGATATCAAAAATATAATTGAATTTATATGTTCATATTTATATTTTTTTTGTATATATCTATATATATTCGGGTCAACCGGTTCGACCAGTGACCTGTCGGTCCGACCAGTGACCCAGTAACCCAATACCCCTACCCGGGCATCATTAATAACACTGGTTCTGAGCATTACAATTTAATCTGAAATAACAAATTCCAGCATACCAAACAGTCAAAAAATAATAATTTAAAAAGGCGTTCTAATTAATCGATTTCACCTTCTCGTTGGTGGCAGAGTCTGATTAAATGAGGCGAAGCGCCGGCATCGAGGACAGCATGGACACCAACATTGACGCCCCAGGAAAAGCTGTTGAGTGTTGTGGCAGACTGGACAATAAGGTTGGAATCGCAATCGATGTTAGCTTCGGCGAGAGCAGAGGCAACAGCGGGGACTGGATCGAACTTGATGTAGGAAAGCTTCTTTGATCGGTGTAAGAACCTGCACCATTAAATTGGGAATTTAAATAATTTAATTATGAAATTAGGAAATAATTCCATAATTGACTTTGGATAAATATAGAAAGATTATAATAATTATCGAGAAGGTCAAATAACGCTTAAATTGCCTTTATGATGAAAAGTGTGAATACCGGTTCTGCTTCACGGTATAAATGTGTACCGGCGAAGTATTCCAAAAAATTATAATAAAAATATAAATATTCATAGAAAATTATCTAGATCTAGGATATCAGGTTTGGAGTAAAGATAATGAGCGGTGATGTCTGAGCTAATACCATCTATGTATAAAACGCGTACTGGTAAAGTGTTGCGAAAATTTATAAGAAAAATATGATAATTCCTAGAAAAATTTCTAGGTTCAAAATATTAAGTTTGGTGGAAAATGATTAGTGAAACTATTAGAACTAATATTGTTGATTAGTAGGGACACTAATATAAATAGTCACATACACTAAACACTAGGTCAGTTTTTCTGATCCCAAGATTGATTCCATGGTTGCCATCTTCTTCCTCCATGAGAGCTTGAGCCTTGTGCATGGAACTTGATCAAAAACTCACCTTTCTTCCTATTTATCCACTTCTATATCATTGAACCACCATTAAACCTTGTAAAACTTGAGTCTTGTGAAGTAAAGGCTAGGTCTTGAGGGTTTTTAGTTTATGCATTCAATGAGTAAGGGTTGACTTTGGTTGTTCTTAGTGTGTGAGCCTTGGAGACCCTCTAGAAAGCTCCAAGAACCAATCTTCGTGAAGAAAGAACCTCCTTGGAATGGGATTTTCGTGCACCACCTAGTCAGTGGTTTGGAGCACCTCCAAAGTCCACAAAGCTTCACCATTTTTCTGATTTCAAAGGTCCCTAGGTAACTACAAGTCATTTCCTTTGTAGTTTCTTGAAAATGAGTTAGTTTGTGAAGTTAAGTGTGGAAATATTAATGATGCATGTAAAATATGGTACCATGATGTTTAAACATGTAAGTTGAACTGTTGTTTTGATAAAAATTGGACCTTGGACCCTTGGAAGCCATGAAACCTACAGATTATGTAGAAAATTCTGTAGTTTTCATGTTCTGTCCGCGTGGTAATCAATTACCCTATTCTTGGTAATCGATTACCATATGGAGTAATCGATTACCCTGTTATTGGTAACCGATTACCATGTTGTGTAATCGATTACCCCTTGTATGGTAATGATTACCCCCTGTCAGAATGACCAGAAACCAGTTCTGATGCGTGGGAAAGTTCCCATTTGGGTATGATACCCTAGGGAGTCATTATTACTGCTGAAAAATATTAATGCCAATAATAGTGAGGGTAATATGCGATAATTATGATTTAGAAGGACATAAGCGAAAAAGAAAACATTGCTCAATGGATATGAAATTTGGGAATTTTAAATATTAATTATGTTTTCATACAAAATAGATTGCAATTGTCGGATTATGTGACTGTTGGTGTGCCTGTACATACCGAGCCTTTGGATAGGGATTTTGGCACTACAGGTAAGCTTTCATGACATCGGTTTTATCCGTTGCTTGTTCTACCATACCTCTTGGAGGAATGATTTATATGCATGATGTGTTTTTCTGAAAATATATCTGTTTATATGATGAATATTGGATATGTTGTTGAGCTGGATTTTACTATAGTGCAAGTGCCATATGCATATGTATGTGGGGTATTCCACACGAGACGATAATTCCTTAGCATGTCGGGCCACATACAAGAAGGTAACTCCGTGTGTGAGGTACAGGGTGGACTCCGTGTACTGTTAGTTATAAATGTATGTAATCCCTACCTTTTATTCTCTGGCCAGTAGGATGCATACACACATGACATGGGCATATACTACATTGCACAGATTTTGATATTATACTATTGTTACCATTTTAGAACTTATATTGCACATGTAAGTGAGTTAGGGGTAGAGAGATCATTGAGGACCCCTTGCTTTACTGAGATTTCTCGTTTGAGATCTCACCTCATGTGGGGCACATTTTCAGGTACATGTACTTCTGGGATTGAGACCTCTAGCGGCAGGAGACCGGAGTTGAGATGATGCATGCACCTTGCCATATTATCATGATTTATGTCTTGCTGTTATGTTTTATGGCCATTGTATTTGATACATGACTTGATGATTAAGTTGATTTATTTGGTGAGCATGAGGGTTGTCCATGCCACGTTTGAATAAGCCGTATTTATTCAGACTAAGTTATATTATTGTATCAGGACATGTCTGGTCTACGTGTTGTAATTCTATGACTTGATGCATTATTTATGTTATGAGGTTATTCAGTGTAATTATTATTGCAATTTACATACAGGCGGCTTTTGAAAAAGAATTAAGTAAATCCACTTGGTTTATCTGATAATGTTCATAATTGGAAAATTTTAGCTTCTGCAATTATTTAGCTGCGCTTATTACCATTATCTGTTTAATACACCAGGTGCACACGAGCTATTACAATCGGCAAGGGCACATAAGTAATTTATTTATATTTTCCCTCTTAAACCCCCCAAATTAGGGGAACTCTAATATTAAGGAAGAGAATGGTATTGAAGGGTTTTACAAGAATCTCATATTACCTTCCTCCATATTTTAAAACTCACAAACAAGGAGAAGGTATAAGCATGAGGAAGAAGAGAAGGTACCAAGAGAGATATAGAAAGAATTAAGTTTAATATTTCTCCATACTCTTCATTCAAGACCTAGGCATTAGTAATACATTATAGTCCTTCATACATGACTTCGATCAACAAACATGCAAGGAAATAAAAAATAGAATCGGTTATAACGTTGGCCCACTAAGTATTCAGAGAAGCATTTGAGCTTCATAATTTCCTTCCTATGCATTACTAATACATCATAGTCCAAGGAAATAAAAAAATGGACTCGGTTATAACTTTGGCCCACTACGTAACCAGAGAAGCATTTGGACTTCGTAATTTTTTTCCTATCCAGAAGCTTAATTATAGAAGTCCCAATATCTTTAACTGGGCCAAAGTTGCTGGGTAGACTCGTTACATCTCCCTCACCTACAAGACCATACTTGTCCTGGTGAGATAGTGGAAGACACGTGGCGCTTGGAGTGATACCAACAGTTCATCACATGGCTTTTCGCAGGTGAAGTTGGATCTTGTTGTTGCATCGGACGATAGTGTTGTTGCTAACATTGGACAGGAGATTGGGGCCATTGGTTGCTATTAAAGAATGCCAATTGAGATAACTTTGGAGCCATTCCTTGTTACTGACTAACATAGGAACTTGAACCGTTGTATAACTTTGGAAATTAAATGCCAATTGAGAATTATTAAGTGTCTTCCTGGGTTTTGAAAAAAACAACATTGGGGTTAGCCGAATCCCCAAAGGCATCATTATTTCCCTCTTCAGCGAAAATACTTCATTCATTGTAACCTAAAAGTTGAGGGCGCATTGCATAAGCCAAAAGGCATCACAAGAAATTCATAGTGTCTATGAAGTGTTATGAAGGTTGTCTTACGAATATCATTTGTATGCATTTTGATTTGATGAAATCCA